AGTGCGGGGAAGGCGGCGGCTTGACAAATGAAATTAAAATATTTAAACACTGCTGTATGATATTACTGGAGAGATCTCATCATCATCATCATCATCATCATCATCGAATCTCTCTCACCTCCGGCACGGAGCGCACGGCTATTATGGCTGACGCTTCTGCTGGAGTGACAGGCTCACGGTAATGTGACGTCCATAAGTCACACGGACCATCAGTCAATGTATACACCGGCAGCAGCAGAGCAAGGACAAAAGCACACAGTCACGTCAACCTGCACACGCCGAGGATTTCTGATAGAAGCTAATGCGTGAAAAGTCAAACAGACAAACTTTTTAACAGATCATTGGACTTTTGCATGCTTTGGATGCCATTATAGATCAATTACAAAACATTAAAGGAATGGTGGTCACACTTTATTTAAATGTACAATTCTGCTATTAACAAACCATTAACTAAGACTTTAAGCTCATGAAACTATTAATTAACTGCTTATTAATAGATAGTAAGGTAGTTTGGTAGGGTTAGGGGTGTAAAATAAGATCATACTTTATAAGTTATAATAAAGAGTTAATATCTTATTATTAGGCCTGTCATGAGCCAATATTAAATGGTGTGAATTGTTACATAAACTATAGTGTTACTGAAATAGTTTACCTCTATATTACCTCTAAAAAAAACATATTTATATATATATATGTTTTTTTAGAGGTAATATAGGTTAATATCCCATTAAAAAAAATCCCTGTTTTATATTAGCCCCTTTACCAAAGACTTTTTCCAGAAAATCCCTGGTTGATTAATGTAAAGAGAGCCTATTTTTTAAATATTGTAAAATTTGCTAGGGCAGTTTTGCTGTGTCATTACCAGCAAAGTGCCAGAAATCTGCAGTGTAAGAAAACCACATTTTTTTTGTTTACCGGTAAAGTTGGTCTGGTCATTTTATGGTATTAAAGGCCAATTTACATTGAATACCTTCTCCATTGTTTTTCTATGTAAATGTATTTTTAAAAAGTGTCTGAAAAGTGAGATGAATTCTTAAGAAAGTGGTCAGAATTGTAAGATGTACAGTGCACATCATATACAGGTACACCCCTCACAAATCTATATTTTAAATTCATATCTTTAATAGGAAGCTATACAATATTATATTTGAGCGTATACATTAGATTACTCAGTACTCAAGCCAAATCTGGAGCTTAACTTACAATAACAGTCCAAAAACTAGTACACCCAAATTTAAGTGTTATAGAAAAATATTGAATAAAAATTTATAAAAGATGAAAAATCAAGAGAAGCAAAAAATAATAATAATAATAATAATAATTAGTTAAGATGTTGTAGGTTGTGATTTATTTTTGCAATATTTTGCTTGAATTTAATTGTATTATCTTTTAATTTCTAAATATGTTTGGTGAGTAAAAAAATTATTTTAATAAATATATCTGTTCAATAAAACTGTTTTGTTTAAATGCACCAAAATACATCGCCTACTTTCACTGACAAATGGAGAAAAATATTTATTTTCAAAATGGGGTGTACTCGATTATGCTAATAATAATAATAATAATTATTATTATTATTATTGAGATGAGATTTAGTTTTCAATACAGAAGAAACCTCTGACTTTTCATTCGAATTAACCCTTAAACAGCGCTTACTAATATATTGCAAAAAAACTAAACATTATATACTGTCATCATGGCAAAGACAAACGAAATGAGTTATTAAAATGTTTTCAAATGTATCTTGTGGTTTACATAAACTTCAATCAAACTTTAATTATAAGACGATAAAACACTGTATAAACTCCCACACATTTCGTAAACATTGTTAAAAGTGCCGTTACATTTTCTTGACCTCTTTTGGGACAGATGTGCTGGGAAACACCCTCACAAACACAAAAGCTTGTGCGAATGTAGTATTCAGTTGTAATAAAAAAAAAATAAACAACTGATGCTTAGGTATTAAAATATATATGTATTTTTTTAGTCTAACTATTTAAGTGGTTTAAATCCTTCAGTGAAAGTAAATAAATTATAATAAAAAACATAATATTAAAGCAACACAACTTTGATTATAAGACAATAAAACATTGTATAAAATCCCACACGTTTTGTAGACGTTTCTAAAAGTGACGTTACATTATCTTGACCCCCATATATATATATATATATATATGGTTTTTTTACTATTTAAGTGGTGCAAATCATCCAGTCAAATAGATAAATTAAAATAAATAAATTATAACAAAAAAAACAAGTAGCATAACTTTGATTATAAGACAATAAAACATTGTATAATATCCCACACGTTTTGTAGAGATTGCTTAACATGACATTACATTTTCTTGACCTCCTTTAGAACAGATGTTCCAGAAAACACTGTCACTATACAAAAGCTTGTGTGATACATTTAATGTCTTATTATTTAAGTGGTGTTAATCATCCAGTCAAAATAAACAGATAAACTAAAATAAACGAATGATAATAAAAATAAAGTGACATTACTTTGATTTTGTAGAGATTGCTAAGTGTCGTTAGATTTTCTTGACCTCTTTGGTGACAGATCTGCTGAAAAACACCATCACAAACACAAACATTTGTGCGAATGTAGTATTCAGTTCTAATAAAAAAAACAAACAGCTGATGCTTAGGTATTAAAATAGCATGTATATTTTTAGTCTAACTATTTAAGTGTTTTAAATCCTTCAGTGAAAATAAATAAATTATAATAAAAAATAATAATAAAGCAACATAACTTCGATTATAAGACAATAAAACATTGTATAAAATCCCACACGTTTTGTAGACGTTTCTAAAAGTGACATTACATTATCTTGACCCCCATATATATATATACACACACATATCTATCTATCTATATATATATATATATATATATATATATATATATATATATATATATATATATATATATATATATATTTACTATTTAAGTGGTGCAAATCATCCAGTCAAAATAAATAGATAAATTAAAATAAATAAATTATAACAAAAAAACAAGTAGCATAACTTTGATTATAAGACAATAAAACATTGTATAATATCCCACACGTTTTGTAGAGATTGCTTAACATGACATTACATTTTCTTGACCTCCTTTAGAACAGATGTGCCAGAAAACACTGTCACTAACACAAAAGCTTGTGTGATACATTTAATGTCTTATTATTTAAGTGGTGTTAATCATCCAGTCAAAATAAACAGATAAACTAAAATAAACGAATGATAATAAAAATAAAGTGACATTACTTTGATTTTGTAGAGATTGCTAAGTGTCGTTAGATTTTCTTGACCTCTTTGGTGACAGATCTGCTGAAAAACACCATCACAAACACAAACGCTTGTTTGACTGTAGGATTCAGTTATGATTAAAATAAACAAATGATCCTTATGTATTAAAATAGCATGCATATATTTAATTTCTTATAAATCATCCAGTCAAAATAAATAAATACGAATAAAATATATTGTTTGATTATAAGACACATTTTCTTGACCTCCTTTGAGACTTCAAAATGACATGACAAAGGGTCGATCAGGTTAAATGTCTGATTCATATTAGAAAGGGTGCTAAAGCTGATACGCATTTCCTTTCACTGCTAACTAAAGTATATCTGAGTGAATATGAGGATTGATGGCTTCCTCTTTAAATACTCATCCGTCTGTGTATCGGCTATCAGAGAGCGTTATTTACGGCAGGCGAGACTCACCTCATTCCCCTCGTTACCATCACATTTTACACCCATCATCTGACAATGAAGTGCCTGCGCAATAAATCCCTGCTTCACTGCCGTACCCCTGTAAATTGCCTGTATAGAATCAATATGGCGGCCGAGACTGGCGCGTCCAGATGAATGACGGAGTGTCGATAAATAGTCAAACAGACACATCTAGAAAAGGAGAGAACTGGAGAGTTATACAGGCACTGTAGCTGAACTTTAGACGATTAAACAGGACTATCTAATGTAATTAATTCATGTAACACACAGCAATATTTACTTTTGTTTTCGTGAAGAAAAAATACAACTTTCTCTTTCTTAGCATGCATAAAATTGGTTAAATGTGTCAGTTAAGACATTAAAATGTCACTAAATATTTCTATATGAGTAGTAATGACTGTATGGAGGCTGAAAGTGCCACTTTGTCCCACATAAAAAATACTATAGTAAGTTATAATGGGTATAATGGTTTTTGAACCATATTAAAAGGTATCATTAAGCCTACTATAAATTACAGTATAAACCAGCTTAAACCAGCCTAGGCTGGTTGGCTGGTTTTAGCTGATTGACCAGCCTGGTTTTAGAGAGGTTTTGGTCATCTCCAGGCTGGTTTCCAGCCATTTTCAGCCTGGTCTTAGCTGGTCAGGCTGTGAGACGATCAACTAAAACCAGCTTGACCAGCCTAGCCAAAACCAGCTATGTCCAGCTTAAGTCAGGCTGGTCAAGCTGGATTTAGCTGGTCATTTTTCAGCCTGACCAGCTAAGACCAGGCTGAAAATGGAAAACCAACAAAAAACCAGCCTGGCCAACCAGCTAAAATCAGCCAACCAGCCTATAGGCTGATTTAAGCTGTTTTTCAGCTGGGTACATTTTGGTGTGGTAGGTTGTAGTTCGCTATATAACATTCCGAAAATTTCAGTATTGGGTTTCAGTATTTAGTTTGCATTGCAATGATTGTATTTCTGTATTTAGTTTATATTACTGTATTTGTTGTGTTAGCAGAGCAGTACTTTACGATAGTATAGTTCCAAACACTAAATGACTAAATTATGTTTTTCATATGGAGTGTCAAAGGAATAAATTATATTTATATAGTGAATTATATAGTAAAGTTATTTTATTTAGTATATTTCAGATTATTACTGCGTTTACTGTTTATTTATTTTTTACTTTTTGAAAACAAATCAATGCAGCCTTGGTGTAGGAGTAGGAGAGATTTCAAAAACAAACCTAATAATGTTTAATTTCATCTTTCAACAGGTTTAAAAACAAATAACGGAAATGAGGATGAAGAAAGAAGAGAAGAATGGACACCACAAATAAACCTGGATTAATAACGAATCAAAAAAACTGAAATTTGCCACCTGATGTGTTCTTAGAAATGTTTTCCTTCAGCTTAGACCCTTTATTAATGAATGAACCGCCAACTTACACAGCGGATAATCATGTGTATAAAAAAGAAAATCAAACACGGAGAGTACAAAAAAAACTCTTTTGTACGAGGAACTACTTTCTTCCACCATTCATGCACATCTGCAGCTGACCGTCAACAGCAAAAACTGTTGCCAGTTCACAAACGTCACTTTACAGCTAGTATTTGAATGATTCTCTAGCGTAATCTCTAAAGTGGTGACAAAACAGGGGACTTTGCTCACATTTTAAGATTAAAGGCTGAACGGCATGAAATGACATCAGTCTACAGAGATTTCCCAGTATTTCTGTTGCAATCAGGATTTCACAATAATTAAACCTGAAAAAGCCAGAGCAAAGTAAACACTACCAGTTTCTGTGGTATAAATACAGCAATACAAAATAAAGAGATGGACTTAGAATGTAATTTACCTTTTTAATAATGATTTGTTCTGTTGTAGTTTGAAACTTGCACTGATAAAATGCTGTTTTTCTCCCCTACGGACTTATGCGGTCAACAGTCACTTTCTTTGATCTGCTCAGACAGGCTGATGGCAGCCGATGCACTGAATTCGATGCTCTGAAATTATAAATATTTTAAAACAGGCACTATTCTTATAAATAAACTGCATAGTTGCAATCTTAAGAACTAAATTATCCCCTAAACAGCCTCCAAAGAACATGATGTTGTCCAACAGCAGCAATATTTATCAAACAGTAGAGTGTCCTCTCCTTATCACTATATGTGGGCGGAGTAATACACAAAGAGTGAAGAGGCTGCCGTTATTGCATAATATCACAATCTATCAGCTAATCAGATTCATGAACCAAAAAGAACTGTTGTATAAATATAAATACAAATACTTTAACACCCGCCAAATACGGGAAGATTTCACCTGTGGTGGGTTAGACAGACACCCTCACTAACCACTTTGGCCCGTTGAAAATTTTTTTTTAATTGCCAGTGTCACTAAAGATTTATAGTAGAATTATAATTTAAGACCGTTTGTCAATATGCGTGCAAATGTAATCTTAGAATTAAGAACTCCTGTGTCCCGTTTCCTTCCGTGAAGCAACTGTGGCTGAAAACGCAACTGGTCATTTCTGTTTGAAATAGGCTGGAAAAAGCAGTGCGCGTGCAACTAAAATCCCGCTGCTTTCAAGAGCTTGAGATTTTTTGTAAGCAGCAACAGTCGCCGTTTTCGCTTCAACCATTCTTTAAACATTATTAATATGCCTAACATTAATGGAATGTTTTTCGTTGGCTTTCTTTTGCTTGCAGTTATTTTAGTTAATGTGGTTTAATTATCATCCTTTACAATAACATTGCTTTAACAGGAGATTAAATTTCTATTTATCTATAGTTAACTGGTGATCTAGGATCTTGGACAGACTGCTGTGTATAGTTTTAGACACGTGACAATAATTGTTTTAATAGGTATTTTAGCAGTATTTTTGTTGAATAAAAAGTTATCTTTTTTACGCAATATTTAAAATTTGTGAAAAGGAAATAATTAGTTTGGTGTCAGTGTTGCCAGATTGGGCAGTTTCCATCCAATTGGGCGGTTGTGAATTTGATTGCGCGGGTAAAAAATGACATAGGCGGGTAATGAAAATTTGGGTGGTTTTGCAACAGTTAATGCAACTGTTATGATCTTGATTTTCTGGTGGTTTTAGATCATCTCTGTGCTGGAATCAGTCAGATACATCTGGCAAAACTGTTTGGTGCGGCCAGAGAGAAAAAAAAAGAAAGGTAAATCAGTGTTGAGCCCTAAAAAGTGAAAATAAACTGTGAAATAAAACTAATTGCAATGCGACTCTATGAAAGCCTTGTGCTCATGCTCATTAAACATGGTCACAACACACAAAAAACTTCAAATAACAAGGAGGCATGTGCACACAACATCTAAATCAAGTAATTTTAGCATGCCAAAATCAAATGTATGCATATAAAATATATTGTCCCAACAACAAAATTGTTGCTAGGTAAAATGGCAAGTGGCTAGTGACATTGGAAAACTCCTAGCCACAGTGGCTGGTGAAAAAAGTTAACGTCAAGCCAAATGTAAAAAAAGTGTGTCACTGTTTCTTTTAAACAAGTAATAAAGCATAATGATATGGATATTTTTGTTCCAGAATTCTCTGGCTTTCACATTTTTCTTAGTTAAAACGTTCACCTTTATATTTATTGATGCTAGTTAAAGCTACTGTCTAACTTTAGCATTTACGTCCTTCCTGCACTCGGTGTAAATAAATGCATTTAAACCAGAACGCAGCTTATTTCACAAGGTTTTATTTTTATGGGAAACTAAACAAGAGACACAACCATATACATTTTTAAACTAGAGTTTAAAAGAGCAGGAATGACCCACACAACCAATATTTGATCACACTATATAGATTTGCAATAAGTTCAGCAGGTCTTTTCCCTTCTCAAACTGTATAAACCAACTAATCACGGTAACAGAATCAAAGCAATTTCCATCCGGTTAGAATGAATGCATAGTAATCAAGTGCCAATGTCTGCGACCAATATGGCTTCCGGCAGCTCCAGATATATGAGCGTTGTGGTCTGATAATCTTAATATCTGCGAGATGTGGTCGGCCGTATATTAGAATGAACAATTGCGGTATATGTGGAGCCGGAAAAGAATCATTACTGGCCTTGAGCTGACTTCACACTCAAGCTGATATTTCTGTGGGGTGAAAGACAGGGGGAAAGCATTGTCTCAGCTGGCACTTTTTATTAAGCTCATATTTTGCGACTGTCATTGGGCGCTGCATTTGACTTGTAAAACAGACCTAATTACAGGCCCCAAATATGCGATTCGCACATCAAACGGTAAGCTACAGTATCCGACCCGGCTCTCCTCTCGCTCCCGCGCCTCCTGCCGCACTACTACAGCCTCTGATTACGAGCGAAACATTAAATGGGAATTACTGCAAAACAATTTACCCTTAATGTAGCAGTCATATCTGCACGGGGACAGGAAAAACGACTCAAATATAGTCGGATTAATAATACATGCTTTAATTAAACAGCTTGAAGGTGCACAGAACAGGGACAGGAGACGCCAAGATTGAATCTCCACCAGGCAGATCCGAACAGATGATCACCACCGGTAAATATACACCCATGAGCGCTCTCGAAAATCATCATAATGTACAGGATGCTAGCCGGAGTCATAAAGATCATTACATATGTGATCAGAGACACAGCTGAGACGTGACATCTGCCATGAGGAATATATGGGAACATTTATATCATGTTAAACATCTCATCTAAGAATGCATTTAAAGGATAGTAGGCGTTAAAATTTAATAATAGTTTTGTAAGAAATTAATATGGTTACTATTTGTGCTATTTCATTCTTTACCGAATACAACATTGTATAAGTATTTGGTATAATATTTAGTCGTTTATGCAATAAACTTTGTATTTTTTTGTCCTTAGCAGCCGTCACAGATCTAATATATTGATACACTTGCAATTTATTGCATATACAGTAGAAGTCAGAATTATTAGGCCCCATTTGATTTTTTTTTTTTTTTATATTTCCCAAATGATGTTTTACAGAGCAAGGAAATTTTCACAGTGTGTCTGATAATATTTTTTCTTCTAGAGAAAGTCTTATTTGTTTTATTTCGGCTAGAATAAAAGCAGTTTTTAATTTTTTTTAAACCATTATAAGGATAAAATTATTAGCCCCTTTAAGCTACATATGTTTTTTTCAATAGTCTACAGAACAAACCGTCATCATACAATAACTTGCCTAATTACTCTAACCTGCCTAGTTAACCTAATTAACCTAGTTAAGCCTTTAAATGTCACTTTAAGCTGTTTAGAAGTGTCTTGAAGAATATCTAGACAAATATTATTATTGTCATCATGGCAAAGATAAAATAAATTATTTAAATTATTAAAACTATTATGTTTAGAAATGGGTTAAAAAATCTGCTCTGTTAAACAGAAATTGGGGAAAAAACTAATAAGGGACAATAATTCAGGGGGCTAATAATTCTGACTTCAACAGTATGTTATTTACGCAATACAAAATATTAAATATAGATCATCGATAACTGGATTTTCTGAACAGAATGTGGTGCTTTGCCATGTTAGGTCTACTATTGCACAGGTTTCAGAGAAAATATTGGTTAATCTAGGATTAAGGTTTCTGCACTGAAAAAAAGTGTTGCATGCAAAACTATTGCAAACAATTTATTTGTGTTGAATTTAAGCAAACAAATTAAATTTAATAATGTTCAACTTAATTAGTTTGTTTAAATTCAGCCTAAATAAATTGTTTACAACCACTTAACGTAAAAAAAAAAATGAAGTAAATCCAAGGAATCGTCTTTGAATAATTTTTTTCAGTGTGTAGACTTTCTAAGACCCTTATGAATGAAATTTTAGACTTATACAGCACTAAACACTAAGGCTTTTTTTTCTAATTGCCTGGTTACTTCTTTAAATAGTTTTTGTATTAATGAAAGACCATGTAAAGGGATGAGTTGCTTCCCATTGTACCAGCAGTCTAACAGCTGTTATGAATTGTATTTCTTTGCAAAAAAAAAACTGAAATATATAATAAAAAAAAGTTTTAAGATGGATTATTGGTGACGGGGTGTCGGCCAGATTGGATTTCTTTACTCTACTGTATAAAGAAAATGTTTTAGGACCTAAAAAGCAATTTTTCAGTGAAGTTGGGAGTTTTTATAGTTTTTAGTTGTTTGTTTTTAAATTTAAGACATTTTAAGACTTAAGGACCCCACGGACACCCTGAGGATGTTTTTAAAAACTGAAACTCAGTTAAGGTCATTTATTTATTTGTCTTTTAATGCCATTTCAGCAGCATTGCCTATATTCATGGCAAAACCCATACTAAATATACAATCATATTGGTTTTTTTAATAAGGATTCATTGTGCAAAAAAACACACACAAATAGCACTGAATAGCATTTTAATTAATGATATACTAAAATGACCACAAGACACCTTTTGAAAAGCTTTCCCTTAAAATGTTTCCTGAAACACTCTCAAATATCAATTTAAAATACACGCTCTATTAAAATGTTAAAATTATTTGAATTCCTTTTCAAAATATTTCCCGAGTGATCTTTTACAGAGTAATTTGATAATACTATGTAATTTCTATATTTAAAAAAGTCCTTGTCATGTTGACAGCACATATTTTGTATACTAGTATTCCAGTCTGATCTCACGAGAAAACTTATTTTATGTTTAGTCAGTTTAGTGACTAATTTCAGTTGTATTAAAATGTAC